AATAACACACGAATGGCGCCATAATAGGGTTATTAAAATCACGAGTTTCACAAAACTATTTGTTATGCCACCTTATTAACATTGCCGGTATATCAATAAAAGTTCCTGGAATTTTCGCTCACAACCGACATCAAGCTTTTTGTGGAAGGGAGTTTGACTTGTGTTAACAATAAAACCAAGGTAAACCGAAAAAAAATATTTTTTTCCAAATTTTTTCGGCATTATAAGCCAGTTAGTGTGTGTAGTCATTCCAAATTGTTCGAAGAAGTTTGGTTACACACACACACGGGAATGAGATGGGCGATCAAATCATGTGAAATGGTATAAACAATGCGAACGGGAACCAAAATTCGAAAATTTTTATGCGAGGACATCATCATCGGATAGAGATGTGCGCTATTAATAACGGATGGTGGACGTTGGTCAAAAAAAACAACCCTATTTTCTGTAAACATCACGCACCGCCAAGTCAAGTAGGGGTGACATGATCCGACAAGTGACACATTATTACGCGAGATTTTTGTGATTTTTTCTTGTCATTCTTTTGATTTACCATACCAGCATTCATAGACAATTCTCGCGATTGGCACTCGCGGATCGCGAAGATCGTCCGAAGCAGGTCTTCTTTACATGGACATGATCACACGGTTTTTACATGTCCCCTTGGATGAGACTCTTCATTGTTGTGACTCGCAATCCGATCGGTTATATCACACCCGATGCAGAGCTCAAATCGACCTGACAACCTTTCAAAGACCACCAAAAGATTATAATTTGTTTGAACCAGCTGTTTTTAATTGGTCATATGAATGGTACGCTCGGAAGCGGATCATGCCCTTCCGTAACAAATGAAGAGATCCTTTCCTTTGGAAAAATGCATCGGTGTTATACAACCCTCAATTATGAACGAGCGAAAAGGAAATGCCTGAATCCACACTCACTAATTCGTGATCTGCCACCATAAAAGAGTTGAGGAGGAACTTTTTTTTTAAACGGAATATTTGATAACGATGTCAAGAATATCAATTTGGAACCTTCAACCAACCAACCGTCAGAAATAGGATGTTCACATAGAATGGCTT